GCTCAACGGGAAGGAACATGTTCCTGAGCTGCTCACAGGAAGATGGTGGCAATGCTTTCATTCATTTCACACTGAACTGTATGCCCACCAGGAAGCTCATACACTGAGTGATGGCTCAAACCCCCGCTTGTCAGATGTCAACAAAGAACTATGACTATCCTGCTTGGGAGAGAGGTAACGGGGTCTCCTTGGAACTGAATTGACTTCAAGGTGACAATCTTGGCAACGGAATGTCAGAATCTAGTCAGCGCTCTGTGGCGGTCTCAATAATCCTGAGACAGATGGGTCCGCAGTATTCCAGGATATTGCTGATGACAACACAGCCAGCATGGCTCATCGGCAGGATATGGGGCAGAGAATCATCCCATTCAGCTACCGTTAACCCTGCAAGCCAAAGTCCTAATGGGTAAGGCAGTCCTAGCTGGACAAGCAGCGGGAAAGCTTGCCAGACAGTGTTCAATGGCAAGGCATTCCTTTTTTGCTGATTAAACTCCAACAGTACTCCAACGCACACTCTGGAGTTTCCAAGCCTTGGCTCTTGCCACCTGCACCTAATACTTACCACCTCGCCCCTCCAGGGAGAGAATGCACATTCCATTCCAATTATCTCTGCAGTTTCCATGTGTAGGTGGGATACATGGAACTCTGTTTGGTTTGGGTACTCTTAAGCATGGTGAAGGGTTTCCATATGTGTCAGACATCCGGCTGCATCCCACTCTGTGTTAAGTCCAACAAAGATTTTTAACATGCGGAGGTTTAATGCTGAATGGCTATTTTCCCCTGCAAATTGACTCCCCTACGAATTGACACCATTCGCAAATCAGAACCCCCTTTTTACCTGAAAATCCCCAGTCCTTTCTGGGAGCCAGTCCTCCACCGCATAGATGTATTGGTACTCAATAAACGTACGTTGCATTGGGCCAATCATATTAATCAGTTAATTTAATTACTGGACTGACCGGATCAACTTGTTATAATTCCCTTGCCTGAAAGCTTTCCAGATGCTTCAAATTTTCTCTCATTTCAGGAATATAATATGATGAACACTTCTCATATTGCACACTTGTGAAAATATATGGAATTTTTTACTGAAAATAAATGTATTTATTCCAAAAATGTCTGCATATGGGTTATACATTATTATAGGTTTTAGCTTCAACGAGAACCAATTCAAACTTACAAAGGAAACAGTGGCCAAAATTTGCCAGCTTCAGTATCTAAGACTGGCATTAATTAACACCAGCCATACGTGTTGCCACAATTTGTGAGGTTTGCTGTTAAAGAAAACAGTCACTCAATGGGAATACCCTCCTCCCAGAGAGGTCGTCTCCTAACAAGAAATCCTGTAGCTCAGTGATTAGAGCACTTGGTTTGCAAGCAAGAGACCTGGGTTCGATTCCCGGCAAAGCGAAACCTTGAGCAAGTTTCCTTACTTCACATGCCCAATAATAATTCCTCAAGAAAAAAAACTAAAATTGGTCACTTCAATCCACGACTGTTTGTGGGACATTGCTGTGCGTAATTGGCTGCTGCGTTTTGCCTACAAATATACAGTCAATTCACTTTACAGTATGTTCTGTGAAGCACTTTGAGACGTCTAGAAGACGTGAAAAGCACTATATCAAATGCAAGGATTATTATTATTTTATTATAACATCTACATTAGAAAGTCAATGCTACCTTTATATAGGGGATGAAGGAAAGGCTGCTTTCTGTGTTCTAAATTTCCAGTTCCCTGGCAAACAATCCTCCAGATAAATTTGTCATTCACCTCATGGATGTTTGAAGTATTGTTGTATTAAAATGACTGAAGTTTGACAACAAATATATACTCAACAGTAATTATTTCAGTTTTTTGAGCCGTTTCTACATTATAGGCACCATTTCAAAAGCAAGCATTAATTATTATGAATAACATTTGATAAGTGTCACCAGCATTAATTAATGCCGACAATAATAATGCCAGCAATAGTTAATGAACCTGCAAATTGTAGCCAGTGTGTGTTTTCTGTTTAACGCATTTGCGCTTGATGGATGTATTCACTATCCATATGTTACCTTTTTGCAAATTAGTTTGCTGTTATTTTTTGAATAAACTCGGTTTATTGTTTGGGAGATAGGTATTGCTGGGAGCACACACTTTTGGCAGTTACATTTGTTAACAAAGTGTTGTGGATCAAGAGTAATCCAGATAAAATGCAACTGTTAATGACATACCAGCATTTTCTTCTGATATATGGGAAGAACAGCTGTTGCCACTATAATTATATGTGCTGCAGCTGCACTGCTTGGAGTATTAGATTGTAGCCTAGTGATACATCAGTAATAGCTGATATGCTGGTATGAGAGAAGAATTAATGCAACCTTTATTAAACTCTTATCAAGGTCATATCATATTTTATCATCATTATCGTATAGTTGATCAATAAGTAATCGTTTGTAACTGTACATAATATGTATTGTTACTGAAGTGGTTACTGTACATTCTTCAGCCTTTCAGAGAAAACAACATTCATCATCAACACAACACAGGGTTTAGCCTCTCCCATGACACCCTCTGCTGGCAAACAAATGGGCTAAAAATGCAATAGAGCCATCTTCCCAGATTCCATTGCACACATTATAAAATGTAACCAACACATGGGGACATTAAGACCTCATGGCAGACCTCAGACGATGCTGATAAACCAATTTTGCTTTTCTGACATGATTTATGATGTAATCTGAACCCGTCAATGAGATTACTACCTTGTAATCATTCCCAGATATCCATTATTCGCTTTGCAACTGTGTATTCATCTTCATTTAGTCGCTACCTATTCATTTATCTGCATGAACAGTGACAAGTATACCCAGGCTTTTGTGAGCTGGATTTGGCTCCAACAGGTCCATTTGCTGCTTAACATGGCATCCAGCTGTTTTTTCTGACGATGCCCAGGCAAACAGTAAAAGATCACAGCTGATGTGGGTGGTATTGGAAGATTGCTGTGGATTTGATAGAATTACCTCCCTGCATAAATTCTCTATGCATTTTTGTATTGGTAGTGACAATGGAATATATATATACAGCACTTACCGCACAACTAGCAATTATCACCTTTTATCCAAAGCAAGGTCTAGTATTTCTAGTTAGAGGCATCCTTATTATTTTTCAGCATTCAAGAGCTTTTGACAAATAAACATTATTATCAGGTTTTCCAACAGACCTGCACTTTACCACTTAGCCAGACATCAATGCGATCAATTCTTATTTTATCAGCAGAGATAATTTATATAACAAGTACGAAAGCGAGGTTTGGATAAGGTAGGGTCATTGGTTTGCCTGATTCAACCTGCCATAATAGCATTCCTCCCATCTTCCATTTACCAGCATCAAGTTGTTTCTTAAATAAGGCCTCTGCCACTTCTCCTAATAACCTGTAACAGATGTCCTATTTCCCCTCTGTGTAAGGAAATACTTATTGGTCTGTGTCCTAAACCTGCCCTTCAGAACGTTGAATCTATGCCCTTTTGTCTTGCTAACTTGAAATACATTTATCGTCTATATCCCATCGCGTGTAATCAGGACACTTCTTTGACTGCATTGTCGGTCACCTTTCCCCTTCTCACCCCCTTCGGTTTCCAAACACAGCTCGGGAGCCCAGCTAGCAGTGTGAGGCGCTTGAGACTCCCTCCCTAAATGTAAATTGTATTGTATTTAAATAGTTAGCTACTAATAGTAGAAAATCGATACAGAAATTGATTGTTTTCCACAACCTTGGACTATTGCCTCAGATTATCTTTCCAGCAGAAATGCATTTAATAATAATAATAATAATCCTTGCATTTGATATAGCGCTTTTCACGTCGGGAGGACGTCCCAAAACACTTCACAGAATACACTGTAAAGTGAATTGACTGTATATTTTGTGGGCAAACGCGGCAGCCAATTGCGCACAGCAATGTCCCACAAACAGTCATAGATTGAAAATGACCAATTTATTATTGTTTTTGGTTTTGGAGGGATTATTATTAGGCGTGTGGAGTAAGGAAACTTGCCCCAGGTTTCGCCCTGCCTGGAATTGAACTCAGGTCTCTTGCTTGCAAAGCGAGTGCTCTAACCACTGAGCCACAGGACTCCACATTTCATTATTTCCCTCAATTTTTTCCATTTTTCTCCACTCTACAGGGTGTTTGCGCATTTAAGCATCTGGAAGAATGTCAGCAAATCCGTAGGGAATCCCAAAGTACCAATTCTTCATGCATGAACCCAGATACCTAGTGTTGGCAGGCTGACCACAGGGGCATCATAGCTGAACGTCGTTCTGTCCTTGTCCATCAACATGCACAAAAAAGGACACTCCTGCAGAGTATGCTGAGTAGCAATTGTTAATGGTTACCTGGCTGATTTTTTATGTTCTAGTTCAGGAATATCAAAGCTAATCACAGACTAATTCAACAAGGACCAGACAAGTGCTCCAAGACATTATCCTATGTAAAAGGTGTCCTATAAATTTTGGTTCAGTACCAGACCGTACAGGGTGTTTGCGCATTTAAGTCATCAGGGAGCTCATGTTATCAACTTTTTTTAAAGACCTACCTCTAAAATTTCAACAAAGCTTTCATACCTGAACTTTCTGTCTTTTCATTATCAGTAGTCACATATGATCTGAACAGTTTTGCAGATGTTGAAAATTCTTAAATGCGAATCACAATATTAGGAGGTTCACCAACAAACATTCACAATGACGACTTTACGATGAATCCTGTGAAGCTCATTGAGATTTCCTGATGTGAAAAAGTGCTATATCAATTGCAAGGATGATTTATTTATTTAATGTATGCTAATCCTAAAAATAATGATATTTTCTGCAAAACTTTATAACCAAAAATAAATTATAAAGACTATGGAAAAATTATTTTAATGATCAGAACGAGTAGACTTCAGTATTGCTTTCTTTACCTGTTATTTGAATTTAGACCTGCTAAATGCTGACTTCCCTCTGTCTTGTTCATTACAGTGATGGCTGGGCCGACAGATACGATGTGACGGAGGGATACCAGCAAGAAGCTGCTGGAGGCATAACAATCAAACTCCAGTCTCCTGATGTAAAATGGTTTGACGATTACTATCTAGACCTGCGGCCAGAGAATCACTTTACTAATCCCTGGTTCCCAGAGTTCTGGCAGCACAGATTTCAGTGCAGGCTGAAGGATCATCAGCAGGAAAACCCAAAGTATAATCGGACCTGTGACGGTAAGAAATAGCTGACCTGCCAGAATGCTAGATTATCCACCTTGACAGGGTAGAAGGGGAGAACAATGAGGAAAATAATACCAAACATTATATGCTGGAAAGACGATAGTGTGGGTATTCAGGAAGGACGGGATCAAATGGGCGAAAGGAATGTGCTATTTGAAGCAATATGAGCAATGTTGATAACAAATAACTGGTAATAGTTATAGAATAGAAGCCTATTCAACTGAGATGGAACTTGTATAGATTTTTATTTTTTGCTCAGCTGGGTGTCTCAAGAGTATCCAAACCAAACTGAGAATTCAATGCATCCCACCTATACATGGCTCAGGCCTACCGAGACCGCCACAAGGAGATGGCTTAATTCCGATATTGCGTTACCAAGCATGTCACATTGGAGTCAGTTCAGATCCAAGGAGATCCCGGTTACCTCCCTCCACCAAGGAGCATATATATCTAGGGGATAATGCACAGAATAACAAATTCAGATTTGGTGAAAAACATATATTCCTGATTTGATTTATCTTTTCTCTTCCTTGTGATGCATGTTGTAACTATGCTTCCTCAGCAATGCCAGCAAGATCAACGTCACTGTCTCCCATGCCCCTTTACTATTGTACTGTTGTGAGACATTGTTGTGCGCAAATTTGTTCTACAAAATTTGCACATGATGGTATATCCTGTGAAGGGCTTTGAGATTGAATCTATTATTGAATCTGTTTCCATCACCCTTTCAGGCAGTGCATTCCAGACCGTGACAACTCTCAGTGTAATACTAAAAAAAAATCTTCTCATCTCCCCTCTGATTCTTTTGCCAATTATTTTGAATCTATGTCCCCTGGTTACTGACCCACCTACCAGTGAAAACCGTTTCTCCTTATCTTCTTTATCAAAACACCTATCTTGTATTTAAAAAGCCAGGGAAAGACATCAAAGGGTACAATATTTTTTCTACACCAGTATTTTCACCCTATCAGACTCACTCACTCTTCCTTACTCCTGAACACTTCTCATTCTCTCTTCTACACAATGGTTCTCAGATTTTTTTTAAATGTGGAGTTTCTGACTGAGCATCCAATATTCAGTGTTGTAGCTCTAGGGCTATCCTACTGGGACTTCACCTATTTCAGAATGGAGTAAATTTTTAGTTGAAATCAAATATTTAGCACATCGAAAGGATGTATCACATTTCATATCCTCACCAAAAAGCATCAGAGGGAAGCAGCACCCAATACACATACCCAGGTCCACATGCTGGGCAAAAAAATGAATGGCCTTTTTTTTTGTCAGCCAGGTGTCTGACACAAGCAGAAACTGATCACCATGCTTAAGTGTATCCAAACCAAATTGAGATTTCCAAGCATCCCATGCATCCCACCTATGCATGGACATCCCAGAGATAGATTGTTGGAATGAATGCGCATTCTCTTCCTGGAGGGACCCATCCTGCTTACCTAATTCTGGAAAGTGCTAGGCACAGGTTGGAAAGAGCCAAGGCTTGGGAACCCGAGAGTATGCATTGAGTTACTGCTGGAGTCTAACCAGCTAAAACCGCATTGGTTGCCACTGATATTGATGTCTGGCAAGCTTTCCCGTTGCTTGTCCAGCTGGGAACAACCTACCCATTAGGGCTTTGGCTTACAGGGTTAACAGGAGCTGACTGGTATGACTCCCTGTCCCCAGTGACTGGTCTGCCCTTCTAAGTCCTGCTGATAAGCAGGCTGGCTGCGCTGTCATCAACAGTGCCCTGGAATACTGTGAACCCACTTGGCTCAGGAACCAGATTAACAAGATCACAAGAGAAGGCTTGATTCCGACATTCCATTGCCAGGCATGTCACCTTGGGGCCAGTTCAGCTTACCTCCCTACCCCAGTAAATTGGCCAGTAAAACAACTCCATTTTGAATAAATGAAGTCCCCGTGCAGGAAGCCTTGCTGCTGTAGCATTGAATGTTAGATCTTCAGTTAGAAAGTCCCAGTTTAGATTCCACATTAGATCCAAAAGCAGGTTGTGTTGAGGAGGAAGTGAGAACTGCTTGGGTGGGCAGACTTTCCATCCTACATTTCTCAAGCATTCCCTCTGGCACTTCTTGCAATGAGCAGCATAAAGATATGTGTAGCCTCATATATCCTGTTCTTTTGTAACGCGATGTAGAAAGCTCAAACAAGAGAGGAAGAAAAATAATAATTATGATTTGCATACAGCTGTTAATTATGATTCAGAAATAAATTAAACTCTAGGTTGTGTAGAATGCTACCTTCTACATAATCATGAAGTCAGATTTGGTTAAATGTACAGCTTACTGAATATAGTGCATATTAATATTGACTCTTACCTCTCGGATGAATTATTCATTCTGAAGCAGAACAATTTAGGTAGTTGAATTGTATAGCCTGTGGAGAAGGTAGCATAGTCTCATAGCCCTAGACAGTTATTCAATAACACCACATGTTAGTGTGTTTCACCAACTGTAATTGTTGGGAATATTAACAGCTATTCTGGTAACTGGTTATTTACTTAGTTACATAATTGAATAGTTCATTATAGCTTGAGTTCTGTTACGTGTTGTGAACCGGTAATTGACTGATGAGTGCAATTGTTCATATGATGTATGAAATGCTTTCTAATTGTATGCAGAGAGGTAAGTAACTGATGTTGAATCTCTGTACTTGCTACTGGTGAAACCACTTCTCAATAGGAAGTAATGTGAGACCAGGCTATGGGCGGGAGGGTGGTGGCAATGCTCTCACACTTTTCATACTTAGTTGTCCAGCTCACCAGGAGTTCCTTGTAACTGCTATCCATCCAGTGAGGTTGAAAACTATACTTGACAGATGTTGAATGACCACCTCCTGGGGGAGCTAAGCAGGGTCTCCTTGGAGATGAGCTGGCCTCAACATGATGTGCTTGGTAATTAAATCTTGGAATCCAGACAACTCTCTGTGGCAGTCTAGGAAGTCCGGTTCCTGAATGAGATGGATCCAGAGTATTCCAGGGCAATGCTGATGATAGTTCAGCCACTTCTTCCCAGTCAACTCTGTTAATTGGATGAGTCACTCCGGGAGAGAGTATGCATTCCATTCCAGACAAAAATCTCTATGTTTGGGTAGCATGCATATGGAACTCCCAGTCTCGTTTGGTTGCTCTTAAACATGGTGCTGGGTTATCATATGTGTCAGACATTTGATTTTATTGCACATTATCAAAGTCCACATCCAATTATAATCTAATCCATTGAGTACTCAAAATCCTCTGCAGGGTATTGACTCATTTCCTTACATTTTTAATGAATTTGGTAACTATAGTAATTTTAGACAATGCAGAATAAAAAAGATAAAACTCATTGTTTATGGTACCTAATATTCCATGCAGATCAACTGCATAAACAATGAGTTTTATCTTTTTTACTCTGCATTGTCTAAAATCTATGCATAGGAAAGACTTTCCTCATTCTTTCACGTATAAATTGCAAATCTCAAGATGAAAAGATCACAAGATTGGTTTGGACCTTCAGCCCATATGATCTCCAGAACACCCACCCTGCCTTCCTCCCATCAAAGCATTGCACTGCTTTTTAAATGAGCCCAGTGTCCTGGACTCAACTGCTCTACTTGGCAACCAAATACGGAAAATGATCAACCTACATGTTTATATGTGCACATTTTTTTTGAATACTATTGTTTGAAGCAAAAAATGTGACATGGGATTTCATAATTATTCCTATGGGCAGCACGGAAACCTGACTGAAGTGGTTTGAATAATGCATGGGTGGAGAGGAAAGAGCGCAGCTGGGAGGCGACAACTCTTTCAAGGACCTTGGACAGGAAGGGGAGGTTGGAGATGGGCCTGTAGCTTGATACCTGCGACGCATCAAGGGAGGGTTTTTTCAAAGTGGGAGTGATGGTGGCAGATTTTAGGGGAATGGGAACAGAGCCAGAGGAGAAGGACAGGTTGATGATGTCTGTGATAAGTGGGGCAAGGAGGTGGAGGAATAGGGCAAGTGGTGTCCTTGAGATAAGGGCTACACCACCGCCACGGCGGTTGGGGCGAGGGATGTGGTGGGAGGTGTAGCCGGGTGGTGTGGCCTCTGTGAGGGGGAAGGTGTCGCCTGGGGTGAGCCAGGTTTCCGTTAAGGCCATGATGTCAACGCTCTCATCAAGGTTGAGATCGTTGATGACCAGGGCCTTGTTACAGAGTGGGGAGCGGACGTTTTGTCGTCCGATGTGGAGGGAGCGGTTGACAGAAGGGTGTGTGGGGAGGGAGGGGGGTCCAGGTTGTGAGGCAGGGGTGGGGGGAATGGGGATGAGGGAGGAGAGGTTGGCTCCTGTTCGGGGTGGCTGGCGAGTGTGGTGGGGAATGGGGCAGTCGGTTGGCTGCTGCTGGACAGCCAATGCCGAGTGTCACGGTGAGCCCAGCGGAGGATTCCCAGGCTGGAGCAGAGGGAGGTTGTGGGAGGGTCAAGTGGGGATAGAAGGCGAGGGGGAAGGAGAGAGAGGAGGCCAGAGCGGGAGAGATGCAGAAGTGGGAGGGTTTGGGGGGAGAGAGGAGGGGGGAGGGAGGGGGGGAGGGGGCTCGGGTCAGAGCTGATAAATGCAGTTATTATTGTTATTGCAGTTATTGGAGCTAGTCAATAACTAAAGAGAGCTGTTAACTAAAGTTCGGTCATGACTGTTACCCACACCCGCTTTTCCTTTACATCACCCTTCTGGCTTTGCCCATTGGTAGGGCCAAAGTCACTTCGCCTGGTTGGAACATTGCACTTCATAGCTCAAAGCATTGAACTAGTAATCCCTGAACCATTTTTTAATCCTTTTAAACAGCATCTCATGATAATGTAGCACACTAAATTTGTGTACATATTTGTGTTTGATACATTTTGCCTTGAGCTCCTTTTATGACTATCACAAAGTGTCTTGCCATCCTACAAAACCTCAAATAAATTATAGTTACTATTATAGTAACTGTCACATGGGTCATCATTCACAAAGGGCTTGCTCATCTGTCAAAATTTACTTTATGCATTATGTCCTTGAACTGTGGAATGTCATTTTTGCAAAATATTTGCTAAAAAAACTTCATAGACAGCTTAAAGAATATTGCAGTTTAGTAACTCAGCAAGTTCTTTTTGAATACTGGAACCTGTATCATTATAAATATTTTGTGTGTCATAATGTAATAAGCAATAATGGACCACTCCAGCTATTTAATTGTACTGACTCACACAAAAATAGTAAAAACAATCCAATTTTATTTGCTTTTCTGAGATAAGGACTCAAAATTAATTGTATTTTGTTTTGCGCTTTTCTGGTAAATATTTTGATTTGAAAATATGCAAGTTAACCTCAAATAAATCGATGTGCAGAATAGATATTAAAGTCAGAGTTTTAAAATAGATGTTTTTAGGACAGCTTAGATGTTACAAGCATAAATCGTGAAATAATTTTATCAAAAAATACACTTCTCCCTACTTTAATTTTGAATGATCATTCAGTCTACTACAGAGCCTAGTGCGTATTTCGGTACAAGAATACAGTTTTCCATTATTTTTAGTAAGTGATGAGGCCAGTCTTTCCTCTAACAAGATGTAGCTTGGAGGTTAGAGCACTCACCTCACAAGCAAGAGTACCTGAGTTTGATTGCTTTTCCGGGATTAATAATCCCTTCAAAAAATAATAATAAAAATAATTTGGTCACTCAATCCACGATTTGTGAGATACTGCTGGGCGCAATTGACTGCCAGGATTCACCCACAAACTATACAGTCAATTCACTCACAATATATTCTGTGATATGCTTTGAGACATCTCAAAGGCATGATAAGGCACTATATCAAATGCAAGGATTAGTATTATTCCTGCAGAAAGGTTCACCCTCACCACTGCAGAAGCCAACATAGTCTTTAAATTAATTAGGTTTTATTTTACTTAGCAAATGTGGTATTCTTCTTTCATGGCCTAATAGCAATTCTGTTTGAAATACTTCAAGATGCTTGAATGGAATTGCCATTCATGGGGTTGAAATTCCATGCACTATATAGCATATGTAAATATAATCACTTCATGGCTGTTTGTGGGACATTCCTGTGAACAAATTGGGTGTCATGTTCACCTGCAAAACACAACAGTCATTACGCTTTACAGTGAATTCTGTGAAGCACTCTGAGACGTTTTCCCAATGCGAAGGGTGCTATATCAATGCAAGATTTCATAGAATTATTCTAAAATGTGAATGCGAGCAGTGCTAGTTATTCACAAGTATGAAACAGACCAAGCGTAAGAAATAAGCAATGCATTCTATGCTTTGTGTTGCTTTTACTGCTCCAGACATGACTCTTTTATTTCACTGCTGTGGAGGAACAATTTACATGAATGAATTAAAAATCTAATGGCTTCCTAGGGAGTGATCTTCTGCTTGTCAGTGAATTTTACTGACCGTCGTGGCAATGAGCTTTCAATAGCAAAATACTCAATAAAAGCCAAACGACTAAGATAGTATATTTACCAGTATGTAGAATACCATCTCTCTACTATGCTTGCATGCCTCAACTTTAAGAACTAAAGGATTGGTCACATAATATATTCACCCATCACAACCCAATTATTCATCGTGTAGTACATTCACCCAGCATAACACAATTTGCAAGCTCTGTATATATGTGTTTCATTTGCTAGTGTCCTGCTGACTATGGCTGTGTCAGAAGAACATTGTAACATGATATAATTGATATGCCCCCTAATGCAGCTCCACTGTCCCCAAAATGAACATGAGGATTTCAGCATTCAGCATAACTTGTGCAGGATTTGTTTTCAAACACAACATTAGCTTTGAGGGTAACAAGAGTACCAGTAACATTGCATTACTTTTTTATTCATTGATTTGCAAAGCCATCATGTGGGTTTGTTTGGGCAACAAACCTCAGCTAATCAAGTTTTCTGCAAAGATCTTCTCAAGTTGCTTGTCCAATGACCCTGTGCACCTCAGTAGGACATTGAAAATAGTTTCTTCCCTTCTGTGCTTGTTTGAAAACTTTTTAAATCTGGTCAGCCGAGTGACTGACACATTTGAAAACCTGTCACCATGCTGAAGAGTATCCAAACCAACCGGCTTTAATACAAAAATGACTGACCGCACATGTGATCACATTACGATTGATGTCAGTTCCTGTTTGCTGTGCATATGCAAAGCAGGAACTGACATCAGCAGCAATCTGATGACCAAAAGGTTGGGCATTTTTGCTTTACATTCAAAAAAAAGATCAACTGGACCAACAGTTTGCCATTGACATCAACTCCTGCTTTCTGCAGGCAAAGCAAACAGGAAGTGATGTACATCAGCTACGATCTGTTGACCTAGAATGCAACAGTTTTTTAAAAAAGTGTGAGAACAGGCTACCTGCGTGAAGGTTGCTATTTAAGTGCAAGTTATGGTGGTGTAGAGGAATCAAGCTGGACTGTGTGCAATTACAGTGAAGCGGGTTATTGTGCCTTGTTATAGCTGTTAGGATTTTATGGATCCCAACCACTGTATTATGAGGCTTCAATGTATATCCCAATCCCAGTTTTTCCCATAGACTGTAGGCTTCACTTAATTCAAGTTTATCAACAGATCACTGTACTTCTAATATCCACATGGCAATGTATCAAAGATACATTTTAACTGTTTCTGTCAGCCAGATGTCTGATACACACAGAAACCCATCACCCTGCTGAGAGTTCCACAAATACTTGAACGTTTTAATTTGTCTGAAATGAAGTGCATAATGTCTGTCTGGAGGTGTGCCCCCTGTTTACCTAATCCTGGGAAGTCTTAGTGGTAGCTTGGCAAGAGGCAAGTCTTGGAGCCCCAGAGAGTAGACTGGGGTTCAACCAGTGAAAATCACACAGCTTGACAACGTGAACACGTGGGAAGCTTCCTGCTGCTTGTGTAACTAGGATCATCCTGCCTTTTAGGGCACTGATTTGCAGGGTTACCAGGATTAGAACTAGAAAGAGAAACTAGTGGGAATAATTCATGTCCACGGTGACTGCCCATGAGCCATATTGGTTGTTGTGATTATAGTTATTTCTCCCAGTATGTGGTTTAATATATTAATTATGACCTAGTATCTAATGATTAGACAGAAAATGGATCTGAAGTATAATATGGTTGTGCTTGTGCTCTCTCCCTTTCATGACAGAAAGAGATTCATTACAAGAACAATACGTTCAAGATACCAAAATGGGATTTGTAATAAATGCCATTTATTCTATGGCCAATGCTCTGCACAACATGCAACAAAACCTCTGTCCTGGAATGAACGGGTTGTGTGATGCCATGAGACCAATCGATGGGAGAAAACTGCTGGACTTCCTCATGAAAATCAACTTTACTGGTGCATCCGGAGACATAATCTCTTTTGATGAGAACGGAGATTCACCAGGAAGGTGCATAATAATCATCTGTGAGAATTCAACAACTTTTACATAGTTAACCATCAAAATGTTTCCTCCAGACTCCGAGAGGCTACAATCATTATATGCTGATTAGAATAGCAACTCAGGCAATTGCATTAGAAATAACATTTTGTCAGCACATAACAATTGCTGAAAACTTTAGGAAAAGTTCAAACATCATACATGTCAGTCATTAGACAAGAGTTTCTACATTTCACTGTCGTACAATTGGTTTGACTCCTCTTATTTAGAACACCTTAGGTCCAGCCTTTATTCCAAGTGCAGTTTGTTTTCAGTTACTTGTTATTCATGCGAAGGCTGGTTAATGTAATACCTTCAGAACTAATATCTCTATCCTTATCTTTTTCATATTTGCACAGGTTCTAAAATCTCCATGCAATTCAAAACACAGATTTTCAATCTGGATATCTAGATGACAATTTAAAGCCAAACAGTGGAAAATATTTAGACAATTATATATTATACTTAACATTTAATTTAAGAAACTGTCATTTAACACTTATGAATTTATTGAGGCATTCAATAGAAAATGCATTTGGCTACATTTGCTCAACATATATGATATCCAACAGATAGAAATATGATAGGGTTTCAAGTGGGAAAACTCAGTAAATGTTTAGCTAAACTGTTTCTAAAATGAACATCATTTACTTTCACATTTGCAATATTCTAATGACTCATTTGACTTTTGAAATGCAGAACTAGACAGAAACACTTAGTAGGGAAATTACAAACTGGAAGAGTAAGGCTCAGTTATTATATCTTCTTGCTAATTCTGAAGCCCCACTGTATTAATCTCCAGGTCACTGCATGTAGAACTTTGAAACAACGTTCAACTGAACTATGCTTTTGTTTTAGATACGAAATCATGAATTTTAAACAGCTAGCCAAAGATTACTTTAATTATATCAACGTTGGGAGCTGGGACGATGGCGAGCTGAAAATGGATGATGATGAAATGTGGTCCAGTAAAACTGCTGTTGTTCGCTCTGTCTGCAGTGATCCTTGTGAGAAAGCGGAAATAAAGGTATGTGATCATCATATTTCCTACAGAAAACAATGATTGGGAAATATATTCATAGAATCATAGAATTATAAGGCACATAAGGAGGCCATTCAGCCATCGTGTCTGTGCCAGCTCTTTGAAAAGAGCTAGTCAATTTAATCCCACTTCTCCGCTCTCTCCCCATTGCCCTGCAGACTTGTCCTCACCAAATAATTATCTACTTCTCTCTTAAAAGTTTTTATAGAATCGGCTTCCACCACTCTTTCAGGCAATGCATTCCAGATCCGAACAACTTGTGGGAAAATAATTTCTCCTCACTTCCCCTCTGTTTCTTTTAATAACTATTTTAAATTGGTGTCCTTGGGTTACTGACCCATTCGCCAGTGGAAATAATTTCTCCTTGGTCACCCTATCGAATCCCCTCATAATTTTGAAAACTTCTATTAAGTCTCCTCTTAACCTTCTCTGCTCCAAGGAGCCCCAGGTCTCTCTGTTCCTTCCCCCTCTTTAAGATTCTACCATCAGCTTATATTGCCTCTCCTCATTCTTCCTTCCAAAATGCATCACTTCGCATTTCTCCACATTAAACTTTATCTGCCACGTGTCTGCCCATTTTACCAGTCTGTCTAGGTCCATTTGCAGTCTGCTACTATCCTCCTCACTGTTTACTACTTTTCCTAGCTTAGCATTATCTGCAAACTTGGAAATTGTACTACCTATACCCAAGTCCAGGTCACTTATATAGATCAAAAGCAGCAGTTATCCCAATCCCCAAAACCCCTGGGGGACACCACTGCACACTTCCCTCCAGTCAGCAAAACAACCGTTCATAACCACTCTCTGCTTTCTGTCTCCCAGCCAGTTCTGTATCCATGCTGCCACTGTCCCTTTAATACCGTGGGTTTCTATTTTGCTTATAAGTCTCTTATGTGGCACTTTATCAAACGCCTTTTGAATATCCATATAAACTACATCAACTGTAGTACTTTCATCCAGCCTCTCTGTTAATTTATCAAAAAAATGGGGGTTAATGGGCAGTATCTGTCAATACAGTAGAACCCCATTGAAACCTAGTTCACTTGAGGATGAAACTCCAAGACTTACTAAAAAATCTAAATTGTGCATAGAAAGTAGATCGCTTATTTAAAAATATCAATCAATATTTTGAATGCTGAAGAGAAATGATAAACCTCCAAGTGACTGTCAATATCACTTCCTGTTATTTTCTTATCTAAGTGCGTTATTTTGGTGGTAGATTTGCTTCATTTATGTCACATTTCAGAGCATCGAGAATTTGGCAAATTCTTAAATACAGCCTTAATTAAGAACTGCAGAAAAAACAACTTCAAAGTTGAGGCTGAATTTAACAGTCCATCAACTTCTGGGTGATCTGAAATGTTGTAGAAATAGAGTAAATCTAGACCCAAGTGGAATTTCATTCCCCCCTCCCACACATGTTATGATTACAAGTGATTACATCCCTTCTACCTACATTTGAAAGTGCAAGTGGACAGTCAATGAATAAGACAGTGGCAGATGCTCAGAAAACAGCACACCAGAAGCAGTATCCACTGCAGCATAGGAATTTGCATCACAGGAACTATAATAACATAAAAGCTGGATATCTAACTTGACTCTGTACTGAAGGCAATAAAACACAGTTGCATATTATTTTCCACTTATGTTGCAAATTTAGCATTGGCACCTTTTTTAATGGAAGACAGGATTAAAGTTTAGTGAGACTTTACACCTACAAGAGAGTATGCTAAATTTAACACCTAATGGAATATTTTGCTCAGGTGTTAGAGGGGCTCTTACTGATTAGCCCTTTCACTGAGACATAAGCAATGCAGAGACAAGCATATCTCATGAGAGTGGCAGGGCTGGTAAGTGACCTGCAGAAACAGGAGGACGAGAGGCTATGGAGAGGGTACTGAATTGTGGATGACTTTGAAGGATGACTCTTTCCTATGCAGTGTGGGTACTATATGACACAGAGCTTGCAACAATCGTCAGAGTAACAGTGTATGATGTTCCCTCTGCTCATTTGTGAGGCGAGCTATGCTATCAGCTTGGGAGGTCAGCAGCTACGCTTCACATTGACTGCAATTCTTCTTGTGGAATAGGGAGGGAGGTAGGTTTGGCCACAATTTGCACTCTGTGGCATCCTTCCAAAGCCGCACTAAAATCATAATAATAATAATCCTTGCATTTGATATAATGCCTTATCATGTCTCAAAGCGCTTCACAGAATATATTGTAAAGTGAATTGACTATGTATTTTGGGGGGGAAACAAAATCTCTCCAAGGTTCTCCCACAAGCTCTAAGGCAATTACACACGTTTGTTTGATTGAAGTGTTTCTGAGTTTGTTCATTGCAGTGCTGCTTTCAATTCCTCCATCCTACTCAGACCTACATGCATTCTCTGTAGAGCAATGAGTGTTGCATAAAACTAACATGCTGGATCGCCCTTCTATTCTGAGCTAAAATTCTGAGGTCCTAACTGGTTCCTAACTGAGATATCCCCTCTATTCAGCATTAGACAGCTCTGTAAATCCCAGCTATGTTGTATGTGCAATCGTCTTTTAAATCTCTAAACCTATGACCTCTTGTTCTACTGTCTTGTGGCATCCTGATACGGTTTTACTTTTTCAATCCCATTTAAAATTTCAAACACCTCTATGAGGTCCCATCTGAGTCATCATCTCTCAACACTGAAAAGCTTTAGCTTATCTAATTATTACTCATAATTAATTCGAGTCAAGTGGAAAGAATCCCTGCCCCTTAGCTATAATATTACAATGGTAAAGCTGCTCCTAAGATACAGGTCGCCTTATTAATATATGATTAGGATATAATTCAGTTCCACTTGGGAACTCAGGGAGAACATAATTTCCTAAAAATGCCAGGAGCCTGATAGTTAATATTTTATCTGACTGCAGCAACATCAGAATAGAACAGTTTGTTGCAACAGTATTTAAAACAATTGTTCTTACAAGTTGTACTGAGTGATACAAATGTTTGTTTAGTATTTGATGCACTTAATTTGATAACATGCCAGCTCAGCATCAATCAAACTAAAAGTAGCTTTGTTTCTAATTCACATAAAAAAACATATTGATTGAGGAATTAATCTGCTAATGCGAGTTACTAACCCTATCATCTTGTCTAGCACATCTTAAAGTATGTTAACAAAAAGATTCATTTTAAAGTGCTTATTTTTTAATGTGATTTACCTCTGCGAAGGAAAGAATTGGTTTGATTCACAAAATTCTGTTCATTTATCAGAAATGTTCACGGAACAATTTGCAGTCAAGAGCTTGAATATGTATTGAGTACTAAAAATAAACTTTGAAAATAATTGATGGCTTTAGAACGTGACGGATATAAAAATGCATACTTCTTGGCATTAGAGCAGCAAACATGCTAAACTAATAATTTGAGAAAGGGGCAAGAATTTCAAGGAACAACTCCAATCATTGTGCCATACAAAATAGTTTTGGTTCACTTTTATTGTAAAGCAGATGTGCAGAGTCACAGGAATAGGAATGATGTCCTCAATCATTTTAAATTTAAATGTCTGCGTTTAATGAGGCACATTTTACACAACATCAAAAAGACGTTTCCTTGTAAAATGATGTTAGATGATTTGAAGCATTATTTAACTGCAATAACAATTCATTAGTATTGAGTGTACATGATGATCAGCGTGAGCAGAAATTATTTATTCAATCATGGCTCTGTTAATGTTAAAAGATATAGATTGAGAGCAAAATTGTAGCTCAAGGGACCAAGCAAATTGAATTCACGAGGTCAATCTCCTTCATCAACCTTTTTGCTTGTGAAGCAGATGAAACCCAGCTGGCCAGTTTACTTTGGAAATAATGAAGTGTTCTGATCCCAAGGATTACGACTCATGTTAAGTAATTCAACGTTAAATTAAGCACACTTAGATCATAATAATCTTAGCATTTGATATAACGCTTTTCATGTTGGGAAGATGTCTCAAACTGTTTCACAGCATTTGAAGGTTGTAGGTTCAAGTCCCACATTTGGACTTTGAGCTAATATTCTGGGCTGACATGGATGCATTGGAGAGTTGCATTGTCGGAGGTGCCATTCTTCGGATTAGATGTTAAACTGAGCTACCGTCTCCCTTTTAAAATGGATGTTAAAGGCCTTATGGCACTATTCAAAAAGAGTTACTACAGGTGTCCTGACCAACAATTCCGCAGATAAAATTGATCACCCAAAATTCATGGCTGTTTCTGATACACTGCTGTGTCCAAAATGGCTTTTATGCTGGTAAATGCCGGTATCAGCATTGTAATTGCACTTAGCCAGAAATTCCTGCTAGCCAGACCAGATTCCCCTCCTAGAAATAGGCCATTCAGCCAATCCAAGTCTGCACTGGTGTCTTTCTCCATATGAACCACCCAATCTAATCACATTCTCCTCTTCACTCTCCAGATCATTTAATATTCCTTTAATATTTTTAGTGTACATCAAGGTGACAAATATAAGCTCTTGGGTATGGAGCAAGCACGACTTCCCAAACACTAATAGTCTCAATCACATCCAGGTCAAGTATAGCACAGGGCACATGCAGAGTAAAGCTCCTTTTATTCTGCCTGAACAATGTGCAAAACCGCACTCCTTCCTGCACCAATTTGCTGAATTTGCTTTCCCTTGTTGGGTGTGATGACTATTTTATAGCTGGATCACAGGCACTTTTATTCGGTATCTGCTACAAAGGGGGTTGAGACAGCTCAAACTCGTATTTCATGTGAAATTTTTATGGCCATCGAGGGAAGAACTTTCATCCCATCAAACTGCACTGATCTGAGTCCATGTTGCCCAGAAGTGAAATCTACTAACCTGTCCTGTCTCATAAATCATTAATAAATTCTGGACTGTGTGTTGGTTTATAAGGAGACAAAGAAAGGCAGTGATCGCAGGAAAAAAATTAAAGTAAGTTTGTGTATTATTACGCAGGATGAAGGTCAGCCGTTGTCTTATTGAGTGGGAACCAAATTGTTTCCCTCTTCTTTAGACTGTTTCTGTCCCTCTCTAAATCCTCTCACACTTGTATAAAGGCTGGCTTTCTCACTTACTGTTTTGTGAATTGGCTTTCACAGCCTTCCAGCAGCATCTTGTATCTGCAGGGTGTTCACAAAGTCATGTTACCCCCCAGGTTTTTTTTTACAGTGCAGTGACCAACAACTGAAACGTGTGGAAGAATGATAATAATTATATTTAGAAGTACTTAATTGTATTCAGTCAAGTTTTTAAATGTATTTAGACATCCAAAGGATCAGTGTGAATGTCATCATCAGATAATGATTGGTCGCCATGTTCTTTGCGACATCTTCCGTAACATGGAGCAGTGATGAGGAAATTACTGGTATCAGATATTGCTACACTCAACTCATCTGCAATAAAAAATAAAAATTCATTGTTAAAAAAAACCACAGGGGTTAACAGGAGTTTGTGAACTCTTGTACTTCCCTTCATGTTATCCAGCGCCTCCTCAATACCATAAAACTAAGGGAGCAGAAACCAGTCTCCATAGTGACTGCAATAAAATGTGTAGGTTTTATCAGAAACCCTTACAACCACTAAATCTATGTGTTCAACTTTCAGTCCCTACAACTAGAGTTAACCCTTTTCTATTTAAACAGAATGACAAGATAAAGAAACAGAGAAAACCTAGAAGAAAAAATATAAATATTGCAGATCTATTTGAATAATAATAAATAATAATAATCCTTGCATTTGATATAGTGCCTTATCATGTCGTTGAGATGTTTCAAAGCACTTCACAAATTATACTGTAAAGTGGAGTGACTGGATTTTGTGGACGAAACGAGACAGCCAATTGCCACAGCAGTGTCCCACAAACAGTCATGGATTGAGTGACCAAATTATTATTGTTTACTTTTCAAGGGATTATAACACCCGGAAAATTATTATGATTAGTAATAGGAGATACTAGTAGCAATTCTGCAGCACAAATAGTGACTCCTGATGGTAACCAGAAGTGTGTCACACCCACCTACGGAAATTGTGCTCCAATATAATCTATTTCAAATTACTGAAGTTGCTGTGGGTCAGCTTGATTCACATCCATTTACATTCAGGATTCACTATTTGTATTACAAATTGCTGCATTTTAGACCCCTGTTGATAACATTTAAAATCCTTTTAGCCTGGATGAAGAATGGGTTACAATGGCTCACAGTAAAATATGCTAGATAAATGAGACAAGTAGCATTTTTGTGCTATTTAAACAACTGTATCTCCTCTAACAGCCTCTCAGCTATTCCTGTAAATAGACTTTCTCACACCCTATAATTCTTTGTGTCTTTGTTCTGCATTTACTAAGATCTTATGACCACAACAAACAATAACCCCTTGTGTTTGCTCTCAAAATTCTCACAAGTCTCTCATAAGACATCCTCCGACGTGAAAGGCGTTATACAAATGTAATCTTGTTGTTGTATAAGACAAAAGATACGCACCTCACTAGGAGATTTTTCTTTGAAATACATAATAATAATGCTAATAATATCCTCGTATTTAATATGGAGCCTTGTCACATCATCAAAATGTCTCAAAGAACTTGACAGGATTCAATAATATAATAATCTTAAGTTTAATACGTGTGGTAACCTGGCTAAGTTGGTAGGATTCTTGCCTCTGAGTCAAAAGGTTGTTGGTTCAAGCCCCATGTCACGACTAAACTCAAATAGTCTGGGCTGACACTCCAGTACAGTGGATGTGGTGTGCTCCAGTGGAGGTCGTTTGTCACACCTTCCTTCAGATGAGATGTCCTTCCATGAGAGGTTAAACCTCCTGATGAGATGGACATTAAAAATCCTGCGGCACCATTCTGAATTGGTGGTTCTTCCAGAGTCCTGGTCAACAATTAACCAGATGAAATTAGTCATCCATGGCTGTTTGTGGGTCATTGCAGTGCGCAATGTTTGCGTACAAAATGCACGGTCATAAAACATTGCAGTAAATACTGTGAAGCATTTTGAAACAACAGGGTAAAGGTGAAATACATTGTATCATTGTTTATTATTATATAATAACATCAGGATATAATAAACAATAAAGCTTATTTTTTATTATTATATAATGTATTACCATGTTGTCGAAACACCTGAAAGTGCTTCACAATTTCTGTTTTGATGGTGTAACATTCAATTCTGACTCCATATGGGCTGTGATATTCTTTGCAATATTTGAAAGCAAGAACCTACCCAAAAGACCCATGTTATCTTATTATCTCACATGTAATTCTATTTTCAGGTTAGCTGAGGTAGCACAACTTTATTTCATAATGCACACTCGCATGGCATAAATTAATGTGACAGAATAAAGATTTATTTCAGATTTATAGTAATTTAAGTTGAAATGTCTTAGTGAGGTCTAATTCATATTTATACTCTATCTTTGTTGGAAATCTGCAAATTTACTTTTACCACTAACTTCTGGGACTCCCTCCCTTAATCCCTCCACGTCGCCCCTCTTTATCTATCTTTAAATCCCTTGTGAAGATTTATTTCTTTGATCATGCCTATGGTCACCTCCCCTTCCTTCTTGTACATATCCAATCCTGCCACTAAACAGTGTTTCAAAATGCTATCCTGTGTGGAAAGGCACAACATAAATTCAAGTTGTTGTTGTTAATTTAATAAAAATAATTGAATAGTGCGGAAATATTTCAAGATTTTTTTTCAAAAATGGAATCATAATAATTGTTGGCTGTGAACAAGCTATTGACGCATTCAATCCATCCGAACAGGTAATCCGCAAAGGAGAGGTGAGCTGCTGCTGGACTTGTACCCCATGTAAAGAAAATGAGTTTCCCTTTGATGAATACACCTGTAAGGCCTGTCCCCAAGGTGCCTGGCCAAACGAGGAACTCACAGGTAGGAGCACTTGATTCCAAACTTGGCTGCAACAACACAGCCAGTCTGTGTGCCAGGCTTAATAATACAGCCATCAACATGTTTCTCTTTAAAAATAATCCTGTTGAAATGACAAACTCAATAGGAGTGTAATGGTTCTGACCCAAGCTGAACTGCACATCTGGTTATTATGATTTGAAGTGTTCATCTACGAATGAGGGATGAGTGTCTCTCTTTCAGTATTGAAAAGAAAATACAACAATTATGTTTCTTAACTGAAAGAAAGAAACCTAAATGAACTGAAGAAGAAATGAATGGAAATGTATAAATTGTTCTGGAATTCGTGCTGGTGGATCAACTGTATCAAAGGTAATGAAAGGGAAAAACATTGAAAGCAATCAATAAGTTGTCTTGTCAGTGATTCAGGTAAGTGCACAATGTGAAAGCAAGTTTTCTTGGTTAGTGGAACTATGGGGCTTAAACTTTGGAATGCCCCATACTGTAGTAGTAGTAATAATAATGCTTGCATTTGATATAGCGCCTTTCACTTCAGGAAGACATCTCCAAGCAATTTATGTTCACTATAAAGTGTAGTGACTGTATTTTGCAGATGAACACAGCATCCAATCAATATTCCGCAGACAGCCGTGAAGTGAATGACCAATTTTATTTGGGGAATTGCTGGCCAGGATACCAAAATAAATTTCCATCTCTTTTTGAAATGTGCCGTGGGATTTTTAAACTTCCAATTGGCTTGGTGGATATGACTTCAGTTGAAGTCTTATTCGAAAGATGGCACCTCCGACAATTCAACGTACCCCAATACTACGAGTACAAAGTTCCAATGTGGAACTTGATCCCATAACATTCTGGCACAGAGGTGAGAGTGCTACTAATCGAAACAGGCTGAATACAATACAATTTACATTTATAAAGCACCTTGCATGTTGGGAGCACTTGCTAAAGCACTTGACACTGCTGACTGGGCACCAGAGCTGGGGGTCAGAACCAAGGGGATGGTGAGGAGAAAGATGACTGAAAGCAGTCAAAGAGGTTTGCCTTGAGATGGACCTTGAACAAGGTGAGGAAGGAACAAGTCAGAGGGTCTCCAGAATGGAGTCCTACAAAATGTTTTCTTTATCTTTGGTGCATTAATGTTTCAGGTTTTATTAGGCTTTTCACTCTTTTTGGCAATGGTGAGGTGCCACTGTGGGCAATTGACAAAAGGTGGATATTTCTCTGGAGCCTTTCAACTTCTGTGATTGCAGATTGGATGGTGTTTGTACACCGATCACATAACCAGTAAGTCCTTTCACTGTCAGTACCTTGTCACGGAGTCACAGAATGTTACAGCACAGGAACAGGTCATTGGACACATCAACTCTCCACATGAGACATCTCGTCTCACTCCCACTCTCCTGCTCGCTGCCCCATACCCTTTAATATTAATGCTCTTCAAACTGTATTGATCTAATTCCCATTGAAAAGAGTTGGTGGATTCTCCTCCAACCATAGTATAACTGCACTCCAAACATTTTCTGTGCAAATTAATCTTATTTACCCTCCCTTTAATTATTTTTGTAAGTATCTTATATTTATCGTAATAAACTCTTGTACAAATTTTTACATATTATTAATGTATTCAAAACACTCATTCAGAACTCTGCCTCCCACATACTTACCCCGATCAAACTCCATAACCCCATCTGACCAGTTCTGGCCAGGCTCCACCGGATCACTGAATGGATTGACTTCAAGATCCTTGCACTCGTGTTCAAATACGTTCACTCCGTGGCACCTCTGCCTACCTCTCTGAGCTCCTCACTCCCCAGTCCACCACCCAGCACCTCCAATCAACTGGCACCGACCTCCTTCTCGTCCCACGTGCCCCCCACTCCTCCATTGGAAGTCGTGCATTCAACCACTATGCCCTGAAACTCTGGAACACTCTCCCTCAATCCCTCCATCTCGCCCCCTCTCTCCCCTTTTTCAAGTCCCGCCTGAAAACCGTTCTTTTCAACCATACTTTAGTGGAGTCCTGTAGCTCAGTGGTTAGAGCACTCGCTTTGCAAGTGAGAGACCTGAGTTCAATTCCAGGCAGGGCGAAACCTTGGGCAAGTTTCCTTACTCCACATGCCTAACAATAATCCCTCCAAAACCAAAAACAATAATAAATTGGTCATTTTCAATCTACGACTGTTTGTGGGACATTGCTGTGCGCAATTGGCTGCTGCGTTCGCCCACAAATATACAGTCAATTCACTTTACAGTGTGTTCTGTGAAGCGCTTTGGGACGTCCTCCCGACGTGAAAAGTGCTATATCAAATGCAAGGATTATTATTATTATTATGCTTACGGTCACCTCCCCACCACACACCCCGGCTCGGAGTTAGGCTCCACCACTGTTAAGCGCTCTGAGACACTGCCCTGCGTGGAGGGCGCTATGTAAAAAGCAAGTTGTTGTTGATGTATCAGCTTCGGCATTGTATTTTACTTTCACTTTATGGCTGTCTGTGGAAAGTGACATAAATTAGCTGCCGAGTTCGCCTCACAGACATTACACTTTATAGTAACTCACATGAAGCCCTATGAAACAGTCCTTCCAACTTAAAAGGCACTATATCAAAATGCAAGGATTATTATTATTTTTATTAATAATGAAAAGGGCCAAAGACTCCAACAGATAGTTAGAAAGCAAAACACTGGTTGGAAAACAGCCGTTTAGAGCCTTTAGCATTGTCTGTTTTCTGCATTTCATAACGAATCCCATAATTTCAGGTACAAAGTAGAGCAATGAATTCTAGTATGTTAATGCTGCATTTTTAAGAGCAAAGAGCACAATAATTGTCTTCATATGAGAGTTACACTCTTTTGTAGATCTCTCAAACAAGGCTGTAATAAATACCAGTCTTTAATTCGGGCTTCAGACTTTTCCTCATTGCAAATGCTACATAATGGAAACATTTATTTAATAATAATCCTTGCATTTGATATAGCCTTATCGTCTTCAAGAGTCTCAAAGCACTTCACAGAATATACTGTAAAGTGAATAGACTGTATATATTGTGTGCAAAATGCGGCAGCCAATTGCACACGGTAATGTACCACAAACAGTCGTGGATTGAGTATCCAAATTATTATAATTTTTCTTTTTTTTTGAAGGGATTATTACCCCGGGAAAAGCGATCCGCCAATCGACTAACAACCAGGTTCCTACTTCTGCTAAGTAAACAGGGGCTTGTGAAGTAAGGAAACTTTGCCAGCATTTCGCCCTGCCTGGGAATCGACCTCAGGCCCACTCGCTTGCGAGGCGAGTGCTCTAACCACTAAGCTACAGCACTCCACCAGTTGCCTATTTTGAAAGCTGCAAAAGCTATGCAGTGGTAAATGGTCTGATCGTTACAATCGGCTTAACTCACATGCTGACAAAGTACTTTTTGTCTGAGAGATGAAAATAAATTTCCCCGAAAGCACTTTCTTAATCAGTAAATGAGTCGAGAGTGGTTGAAATTTCCATTGACCTCACAACAAAAATGTGCCACTTCAGCACTAAAGAAAGATTCCATTTACTTATAGGCGAAAGGAATTAGGGTGAAGCACTTCTAATAAAATATCCCTTCTCACTTGGACGTGATTAACAAGAGTTTTAAAAATCTCAAAATTTGCAGCAGATGAAGTTTAAATTCAAGTCCCACATCAGGACTTTGATCTTACAGTACAGACTGCACTCCAATACAGATCTGGGTAATTACATGGATGAGGACCTTGGCAGCCCAGGGGGAGGGGAAGTGGTGGAGGAGGGCAAAGTTAGACAGATGAGGGAAAGCCAAGAAAGTGAGAGTTTGAAGGACAAAGACATTGAGATTATGAACATTCCTATACTCCTATATTCTCTTCCTACCAACTCCAGAACAAAATTCGAGATGAAGTTGTGCTAGTGAGAATCTCTGTACATGGTAATGAAGGTTTCTAGGGCACACATTGTGTTGGCTGTTAAAGACACTACCCCATGTGAAGGGCAGTATATAAATGCAAATTGTTTTTGTTAGCTGTTAATGTTACAGATCTTGGCAATGGTGTTTATAATGGCATTTCTCAACAAAATCATTCACTGTCAGGGTTGGGAATTTTACCAATATATATTTCACGTCCAATTGTCTCTCAAACCTCGGCCACACAAAAAACACTGAACAGTCAGTAGAAGTTAGCTCATGTTGATCACTAAAACAGTGACTCTTCACTGCAATTGATATTCCCATTGATAAAGATGTAAAAAACACATTTGTACTTTTAGCCATCAGCAAATGTTAGAACTCATGGTCTTTAATTACATTGACGAAGCTTAGAAATATCGCAACACTTTGTTTGAAGTAATAGGCATTTCCATGTTTGAGAAACTTTAATTTGTAATCACTTCAATGTGATTTTAATCTGCATATGAAAAGAAGTCAGATTTCCATAATCCATTCCAATGTTATCTTTGATAGTGTAACAGCAATACAGTTCAGCTTTGTCACGTTACCAACACAAATTATATTTATATAATAATGATAATAATAAGCCTTGCGTTTGATATAGCGAGATATATCACTTCTTCGAGATGTCTCAAAGTGCTTCACAGGATATACTTTTCCGTTTTGCCCACAAATATACAGTCAATTCACTTTACAGTATATTCTGTGAAGCGCTTTGAGACGTCTAGAAGACGTGAAAAGCGCAATATCAAATGCAAGGGTTATTATTATTATATACTGTAAAGAGGAGCGACTGCGTATTTCATGGGCAAAAAGTGCCAGCCAATTGCACACAGCAATCTTTCCTTTTGGGAGGATGTCCCAAGGCACTGAATGGTGAATGATTTGCACCCGAGCTGGGGGAAGGAGTCAAGAGAGATAGAGTGCGTGGGGAATGGTGGTGGGAGGATGACCAAAGCCATGGTCAAAAAGAAAGGTCCTGAGACGGCCTTGAAGGAGGCAAGGAAGGGGGCGGGAAGGAGTTCCAAGTTTGCGGGCAGAAGGCTG